AATCAAGTATATATATAAAATTAAAATCGAGAACATCCATAATAAACACTAAAACACATACATGAACATGATAATAGAACCACAAAATCAATACATCGATCATAATCTGCTGTTTGTAAATTGGTCTCCTTTTGCTTAACTTAATCAGGTACAAAATTGAAGATAATTATCGGGTTTACCTGGGGCACGGCTGAGGCAATCTGAATTCCGTGAAAACAAAATACTAATGAACGATTGTACGAAGCCGTGAAGCCGTGAAGGTGTGAAGGACCGAAGGTGAGGCGATTTGAAGGTGAGGCGAAGGTGATGAACGACGCCGTGAAGGTGTGAACGGAAGATTGTTGGACGAAGCTGTGAAGCCGTGAAGGTGAGGCGATGTGAGATTCTGAATTTCTGAGGTGAAGTAGTGAACTGTGAATTGAATCAATTGATGAACGAAGGAGGCGATTGAAGAAGTCTTGGGTCTAGTCCAGCCCTAAATTTTTACTCTTTTAAGTTTTAATATTATCCGTCTTTTTTTCTTAGATTAATAGTTAAGACTTAAGATTTAAGACAAAATTATTTTATTTAACTAATATAATATAACCTAATCAAAAGCAGTAATTTCTTTTTTTTTTATTATAATGTTATCGGTTCGGTTCGGTAAAACCGAACCCTTATGGGTTCGTAACCGATACCGAACCGATAACGTTTCGGTAACCGATTTTCGGTTACCGATAAACTTGGTTCGGTTCGGTTCGGTTAATTTTCACATCGGTTCGGTTCGGTTCGGTTCGATTTTCGGTTTTCGGTCAAAAAATACCAGCCCTAATAAAAAGAGCAAAAGCATTCGTATCTATACCTTAAAATGTGGGGGTGTTTGGGTATGGAAAGAACCACACGAAGGTAGATACGAAACTCCGTTTGAGTTATAAAAAGAGCAAAAGCATTCGTACTTATACCTTGAAATGTAGGGGTGTTTGAGCCAAGGTAGAAGTACCTAATTAATGACATGAAAAGTTTGTTGAAACAATTTGTCGAATGGTTCAAATTCATTGAATGACAATATGGGTCTATGAAGGTTCTTCCGACTCTTTGTGATCATAGTCTTATGTAGACAATATGATGATCTTGGAATATAATCATGATATGTTCATGAATACCAAGAAAATAAAACTTTGACATTTAAAGTTTGTGAAATTCCAATATAATTTTGGAGATTAAGTTTCTAATAGATCGGAAATAATTGTTTGACACAATCTCATCATGTCAAATGTATGTTGAAAAGGTTCGATGTGTTCGATAAAACCTTAAGCTAAAGTGTATGTATAATTGACTCTACACTTAGCTAATAATTCGAGAATAATTAGTTTCTCGGAAAAAGTATGTTGGATAATTGGAGGCTTGAGGTACTTGTCGGATAGTACTTGCCCCAATGTTGCATTTTCACGAGTAAACTAAGATGTTCATGAATAACTCTATCATGTTAAATAGAGTATTAGACATGAAAAACTCTAAGACAAAAAGTGACTAAGTGTTCACTTTAGGTGGGTAGAGTTGTGTCATGAAAATAATCTAAGTAAAAAGCTAGATCCACAATGAAGTCCGAGTTTATAAATTTGGACAAAAGAAGTGGATGAAGCTAAATGACTTAGAGATATTCTTTGGTGGAATGAATTGTGCTCATCATGATGATTAAATATCAATCAACAATTGGAAAAGCACAAAGTAGTTTGTACAATAGTGAGTCTAGAAATAGATGTCGGAGACTTAATGTTAATAAGAAAATTATCTCGTGTGGGGGTTATATCGATTGACTATGTGAAGTCAAAGATAAACCTAACGGATCCGTTTACATAAAGTATGAAACGAGATAAATTGTACAAACTGGTTAGGAGAATGAGCTTAATTAAAATCCACAACAAACGAATGGTCTTAGTGGTAACCCAACCATGAGAATCGGAGATCCCGAAACCTTGGTTCAATGGGAAAACTAAGTTTTGACAATTCAGTGAAACACTTGAATAATTTATGCTCATTTCTAGAACCGTCAAGTGTTAAAATCTGCCTAAGTGGTGAGGTTAAGTCGAGGACTTTTAATGATTCCTATACCTATGGGTGGAGTAAGACAGGATACTCTTTATAGGAGAATCACCTTTATAAGTGAGAAGTAAATAGGCCGCTTCAAATGAACACTTACTAAACCGAGATATGGTCCAAGGCCGAAATGGACACAACGTGAGAACAAGAAATTGTTAGAGCTGTTGTTGTGTGAGTACTATTGTCTTGGTGCACACAAACAGCCGGTAAGTTCAAAGCATCGCGCTACTAACCGGCTAGTGTATCCGATAGTATTTCACTAAGGAAGATTCAAAGCCACAAGCTATCTATCCTGATGCAATGATGGTTCGCCGGAACTCTCAAGTATTGTATACATGCATTAATTTCATTCATGTGGGGGATTGTAAGAAAAAATTGATTTTGTACTGATTTAATGATTCTACTTTTCGCAAGTAGAAGACTTAAGAAATTCTCAAAACTTATTTAAGGTGAATGAGAAATTAATTCTAGTCTTATATGTTAATTAACTGAGTAGGTTGTAGGGTTCACAAACATTCTGTTTTGACAAATGTTTAGACGAACTAAATGAGCCATAATTATGCATTATGTATGCTATAATTGTCAAAGGCCTCGTTGGGGACAAGTAGGAAAAAACGGAATTCAATTCCGAGTCCGTATGAGCTCGTACGAGCCCGCGGCGCACGGGCGCGCGACTGGCTGCGGAAATCAAAGGGTCGCAACCCTTGGTGACCATAAGGTATCTCTTGGCCACTAGATGCATCCCTTCTCGTTCGGACATGTCCCAAAAGGTGTCTTTTGATACTTAAACCTCTTGGAGGTGTTTCCCTACATCTATAAATACCCACATACTTGAAATCATTCAGAAGGTGAAAAGTGAAGAGCTCTTGCATTATATTTTCAAAGTTCATAAAGCATATTGTATTCTTTGATTTTTTTGTTGAGTCTTGAGAGTTCCAAACAATAGTAGTGTTCGCCGAAGACTTGTATATTTGAAGTACCACTATATACAAGTCGAAAGTCGTTGTATCTTGGAGGCGTTTGCCGTCAACCGTGGGTATTTTACGGGGCAATTTCGTCTTAAGGATAACGTAACTATTATGTGCCTCGACTTTGACTTTGTTTCGTTTTCTTCATTCTCCTTAAGCCGTCTTCATTCTCCAATCACCAATTAGTTTTTAGATACTACTTAATGGCGCACCTAAGCTTATCTTCTTGTTGTGCACTTTATCTGCGTGAGACTGCACCCTCTTGCCCCGATTAGTTTGCGTGGGATTGCACCCTCTTGCCCCGATTCTCTAAAATTACATGACATTAAAAATTATTACAACAGGGATCATAACATGTGTCGAGTATGGAGCATTCGATGCTATTGCAATTATCAATTTTTTTATTTTTATTTTTTATAATTGGATCAATACTCATATGGATGTATACAATATAAAAAAAAATTTGCAATCACCGATAGGTGAAAAATTTTTGGTTGGGTACATGGTTTTATATGGTGCTTATAACGTGATAATATTTTTGTGATTTGATCGGCACATCATTAGTTATAATTTGAAAGGTTTTTTTAGTTTATCATTTTGTAAATCACCCACATCAAGTGGGGTTTAGACCAAATAAGCAAAGAAATATAACTGTGAATTTTGTTTGGGTGGCCTTTCCAATCAAAACAAATAAATAATCAGTTGAAAATAAAAATTGTAGGATTAACAAGGAGTCGAGGAAAATCAGGGGACTGATGGTAATTAGCCTATGATTCGGCGAGATTGAAGGAAGGAATTGCTTACACAAAAAAAAACAAGATGATGCAACGACGGAAAGCTACAAAGTTATGTCCACTAGGAGTAATGCGGGTAACAATCAACAAAATCCTTATTTACGTACTAATAAAGATAATGGTCTACATATATAAAATTATTAGGTCAAGCATCAATTAGTATAACACTTATAAAGGTAAACTACTAACCATTTTACTTTAGAGTGACTGATATAAATCATAGTTACATGCATTTTGAGTAGTTATCTGATATATTTGGTCGACTTTTACTATTAGCATGTGCATCTTTTGTTTTAATTTATTTTAACTATGATGGAGTTTTTTTATAGGAAAAACGCTTGAGAAATAAAGCAGAAAAAAAAATAAGCGGTCAAATTTTGAGTTTATTTAAAAAAAAAAAAATCAATAGTGTTCTTACTTCTCCTCCTCGATAACTTGAACACATGATCTATCGGCCATAAATGAAACGTCTTAATTACCACTCAAGTTGCGTTTCGTTGTCAATTAATGATCGAGATTAAAGCATTACTAATGTGTTATAATAACATGTTTGTCACAAAAAAAAAATAAAAATTAAATAAATAAAACTCTATTCAAGCTATAAATTGATCTCCAAAATCAAACTCATAACCGAGCTGATTTAGCTGGCTATATCATATATCATATAAAGTAAAGATCCTAATTACATTAAAAACATAATTTAAAGATGAAGGGTGGACTGTTGTAATTAGTAAAATTGAACCACAAAAATTATATCAGTGTATATCAAAATTTATTAGTGTAGTATGAGATATACTAATATAAATCTCAAGTTATGTGATATTCTTACATCTTGTACTTATGATCGTGATGTTGAAAAAAAATCTTCCAAAATCAACGAGTCATAAACCTAAAAATAATATAATTTAGACAGAAATGACAAACAAAAAGCCACAAATCAACCATTCATAAACATTTAATTAGTATACTTGTAATCGAAAAAAAAAAATATAAATGTACAAATAAATGTATGTGAAGCGCATAATTAATTTGTTTTTCATAGTCAAGCTTGCAATTCAACATAGCAATGAGGTAGACCCAAAAGCCCAATTATTTTTGGGTCAGAAAAGTTAATTGGGTCAAAACACCTGGTAGATCAAGCCCAAATTGACTGTGCCGCATTATTGATACACAGAGTCCACGCGAGATGGAACTACCTTCCTTCTCCAAGCAACCTCTGGCTGCAATAGAACGCGCAGATTTCGATTGCTCAAAACCCTACGAAAATGTAATTTATTCGAGTTATTATTCTCTGCCTTGATGAATTCACTGTCCTGGCTTTTGTTTTTGTAATCCATCGTCTCCNATTTGGAATTTTAGTTGATTTATGATTTCTTCTGGTTGATTTTTCCGTGAAGGTCGCAAGACGATAAAGCAATGAAAGCAATAAGAGACGCTTTGAAAGCTCTGAAAAAGCGGCATTTACTGGAAGAAGGCGCCCATTCACCTGCCTTGATCGCTCTCTCTCGCCCGATTGTGTCTCAGGTAAATGGAAGTGGGTTTTTCTTGTTGTTTCAGTTATTTGGTTCCGTTATATAATGTTTTAGTCCGTCTCTAATAAGCAGAAGAATAAAAGATCAAATTTTGGAGGCAAATTTTGGTCAATGTTTGTCATGATTGTTCTGAAAATAAGGTTAATAAAAGAGTCAAGATTTCTTTGCAGCTGGTGCTAGTATTACACTGGCAACATAGCTTGTGCCTTGAGGTATTAGAACTCAAAAGACTTGGTTCATTATCACAATTATATGAAACTAAGTAGCGTCCATTTATTTGGTACTTGAATTACCGTAGGTCGTTTATTCTCTCGGGCTCAGTGCATACTGAATTAGAGATGCTAGGAGACATTTAATTTGACAAGTGGATTGAGTTTGCTGGTTTATGCTTTAAGGGTCCTCATTGAAACAATGTGTTTGAATACTTGATATGAGTCTAGTAATGGTGTGTGTTGAAGGGCTCAGAATGGAAAGAAAAAGCTGAAAATCTTGAAGTGGAGCTCCAGCAATGTTACAAAGCTCAATCTCGTTTATCAGAACAACTTGTGGTGGAAGTGGCTGAATCCAGAGCTTCAAAAGCTTTAGCACAAGAAAAAGAATCCATGATAGCTGAGTTGCAGAATGATCTTAGTCAAGAAAGGTTTTTTGTCTGAAGAATATGTCTCCTTTCTTTGCATAGATATAAGTTTGTGAGGGATTCAATTACGACGTTGTGCGACATTAGGCTGTGTAAACTATTGCAATCATTTGCAGGAATGAATGCTTGCGCCTAAATGAGCTTTTGGAAGAAAAGACTAAGGCACTCGAGCTGTTGATAAGTGAACACCAAGAACTTAAAGCACAACTAGAGGCAACTACTCTCAGAGCTGAAAACGCAGAAGCAGAGAACAAAATGCTAATTGATCGTTGGATGTTGGAGAAGATGAAAGATGCCGAACGCCTGAATGAGGTATCTTTACACGATGGTTCAATATCATCTCCATTTTTATTTTCTTATCTGCATTATGAAGAAGTTGAGACATCTGCTTGTGAAATTCTGCATGATATAAAAATTTATAACAACAGCACCGATCCTATCGTCAGTCATAAGTTAAAATGATCCGTTTAACCTATCTTGATTTATCTATGAAAGCATGCATGATCCTGCATAGAAGTTTTCATGATTAAGAGATTTGAGGGCATACCCTCCACCTCCTGATCCAGATCGATCATCTATCAAAAACTTTACTAGTTATTAAGTATGAACCTTTGTTTAATTGCTTATCTAATCTGACATTGTAATTGCTATTCATACCTTTTTCTTGTTTGGGTAGTTCTAGTTAAATATCTTGTGGAGTGCCCTTCTAATATCATTCTTGATAACTAAACGCTTCTCCATTAGGCTAATGCCATCTATGAGGATATGCTGGATCGCCTCAAAGGAAGCAGCATACAACTTCTCGCCCATCAACAAGTGGATGGGGTCGTCCGCCAGAGTGAAGAAGGCGCTGAGTTCTACGTGGAGTCGACAATCCCAGCCACGTGCAAGTTGAGGATACCGGCCCATGAAGGCGGCTGTGCTTCTATACTCTTTGAGCACAATTCCACCAAATTGGTCAGCGGAGGACAGGACAAAGCTGTAAGGACTTGGGACACAAACACCGGATCACAAAGTCGGGCTCTTAATGGCGCCCTTGGCTCCATCCTCGACATCTGCATTACTCACGAAAACAAATTCATTATAGCGGCCAGCAGCACCAATAATCTGTACGTATGGGATGTGGGCTTGGGCCGGGTTCGCCACACCCTCACGGGCCACATGGACAAGGTCTGTGCGGTTGACGTATCCAGGGTGTCGAGCCGCAATGTCGTTAGCGCCGCTTACGACCGCACGATAAAAGTGTGGGACCTTCAGAAGGGTTATTGTGTTAACACGCTTATTTTCCACAGTAATTGTAATGCTCTCTGTTTTAGCACGGACGGGCAGACGATTTGTTCAGGCCACGTTGATGGGAACCTGCGATTGTGGGACATTCGGAGTGGAAAGCTTTTGAGTGAGATCGCGGCCCATTCTTTTGCTGTCACGTCTATGTCTTTATCGAGAAGTGGGAATGTGATACTGTCCAGTGGGAGAGACAATCTGCATAATTTGTTCGACATTCGTACGCTAGAGGTTTGCGCGACTCTGAGAGGGAATGGGAGTAGTAGGGTGGCGTCTAATTGGAGCAGGTCGTGTTTGAGCCCGGATGACAGTTATGTAGCGGGTGGGATGGTAGATGGGTCGGTGCATATTTGGTCAGTGGCTAGTGCGAAACTGGTAACCACTCTAAAGGAGCATTCATCGCCCGTCTTGTGTTGTTCTTGGAGTAATTTGGGGAAGCCGTTGGCTACTTCGGATAAAAATGGCAACATTTGTGTTTGGTCTTAATGATTGTATCGCAATTCATATTTGTATATTTTATTTATTTATTGGCTGATTTGTGTGAAGGAGTTGAAAACGCGTAATGACCAATTGACGACCATCAAAACTCACTACTCATGTGGTGAACCTGCTGTTTTATTGGGATTTAGAGGAAAATTAGCTTCTGTGGAGATGATCTGGTTGTGATTTTTTGATATTTAGGACTTTACAGTATGATAAATATGTTGATCGATTTTTACAAGTGTTGGGGATTGTAAATATTACTCGTGTATATCCTGGTGGAAAATATCTTTGATCCACTGAATGAAGCTCTCAAAATTGGTGATGGGAAGAGTTAGATTTGCGGATTATGTTTGGTTTCACTTCTATTATATATACTGTTTATGATTCTCACATTTCCTGTTAATAGTGCTTTGAATGTGAAAGCGTGTTGTGCCTCCATATTTTGGGTCATAAATAACCTCCTTTTTTACTTTTTTGCCGTTGGATGTGTGTGATCCAATAGTGACAAACCCGGTAGGATTGAATCTCCCTCCATTTCAACAGCACTTTTTGTGTTTTAGTTTGTCAACGCTTCTGCAAGATACATTAGCACACTCAAGAACGTTCTTTTGGGTTAGCACATATGACCGGCAAAATTACAATTTATATTTTCCTTAACCAACTTTTACTAACTAGTAGTAGTGGCGAGTAAGGGTCGATTCCACGAGGAGTGTGAATCAAATCGTGAATTTTCTCGTATTAATTGAATTATAAAAGCAATAAAAGAGGGGGTTGTTTTAATAACTATGATCCTAATTAAATAAATAAAACCTAAACAAGAAAATAAAAATAAAATAAAATAAATTAAGAGAAATATCTAGTTCATGGTTCCGTATACATCCTCGACCGACTCGTCTAATCAACTTTAGTATCAAATCTCGCTATCTTATAGAATTACTAGCCCTAGGCAACGACACAGTCTGTTACCCAAATTTTTCCTTAATGTTAATTTAACCGCGAGACGCTCTACGATTAAACCTGACTTCTTGTACAGTCCAAAAAAACGTTTTCAAGATTTAATACAATTAGCCGCTTTACGAATTAGAAAAATAGGCTAGACTAAGTAGTGAACTCAACCGCGTTCGTTCACTTAAGTAGGTCGTGTTATCCCTGGTAGTTATCGGGTAGACTCTAATGAATTAAACACAATAGCAATTACGAATTGAATGTCTAATTCAGCTATAGATATGAAAAGCCTAATTTAGGTGATCAATCTAAATAAAACTCAACACATCATGGTTAATTATTCAAAACTAGTATTCGATCTTGTGCATTTGCACAGATGTAAATAAAATTAAATATTATAAGTTATATTTATGTATATAATATAAAAATTATAAGTTGTATAATTGTATTATATTTCAAACATATAGTATTATAAGTTATATTTATGTATATAATATTAAAATTATATAATAGTATTATATTTTAAAATTTGATCATTGGTTAAAATAAATAGTACACACGATTTGATTGTATACGAATCACTATATTGATTGCATAAAATATAATAAATATATACTTTTTATAATTTTGAGTGATCATGACCAATTAATTAGCTGAAAAATATTACATTTATTATAGCAATTGCTTATGTGATTTTAAGAAATTTTACTATGACATAAAAAAAATTAATTTATTAATAAACAACCGCTTCATCATATAAAAAAATATTGATTTTAGTGTAAAATATAATTTTATGTAACTTTTATATATTATTTAGTATAAAATATAATTACTACTTTTAATATTAACTATTATATTATTCAATAAAAAATATAATTATTAATCAATTAACATAAAATATAATGGTTTATGTCTTAATTAACCCAAAATAATGTAATGAAATATTTTCTTATTAATGAGATTGGGTGTATTAATGCCACATAAATAAAATTTATTAGGTTCTATTTATTAAATCTATATATATATAATTGCTAGCTAAGTAATAAATTTTACCTAATAAATAAAACCTAATAAATTTTACTTAGCTAGCAATTATATATATATAGATAACACAAACAATTCCAAAAAAATATTGAAATCATCAATCATATAAATCAATCAAAACATCGTCAATCGTAGGATTCGACTTCCCGAAACTAAAAATAAAATCTACTCTAACATAATAAATAAAAAGCAAAAGAGAAGAATAAAGTTATCCTTCTCGTGTGCCGGTGCGGCCTCCCTCCGCGTCTCCCCGCGTCTGATTTTCTTCTATCCGCTGTGACTTTAATCAGAAAATGCTGATGGGAAAAATATAAAATCCCCTGTTAAAGACAATCTTTACACAGGCTGACGAAAGCCAAAAACACTTTCCCAAACACCAATGAATTGTATTGAAATTGAACTATACCCCCAACATTTTCATTTTTCTCTCACAACATGAACAAGTGGAAAAAGTACCTCAAACCAAATTTTAATGATCAACTTACACACACACACACACACACATCCATTTCCATAACTTAAAAACCAACCTTCCCTTTTGCCTATTTGCTTTCAACAATACACATCCAGCACAAATATACAGTAACTCTCGTTGTATGATTCATGTGGCTCGTATCCTATCCAGCCAGTCGACACTCTTCCGGGCCTTCTCCATCTGAATATCGATACTCATCCGGGACTTCTCGTGGTACTCCACACTTCTTCTAGATCTTTCCATGTGCTCAAACGAGACTTTTAACTTGGACAGCTTGTCCTCATTATTGTTGCTGTGGAACTTGTACTCGAAGGTTCTCAGCTTTTCAGGTCTGTCAGTGCTCCGTCTTGGCTTTTCTCTCCTGTCGGTGCTCCTTCTGGAATGTTCCGGACGGTCGATGCTTCTTCTTGACATGTGTCGTTGAGAGGGAGGTTTTTCTACTGTGTGGACAAACTTTTTGAGGTGTTTGATGTACTCGGGATACAGCTCCAGGTCACAGTGGTTACCACCCTTGATCCACAGGGGTTCGTATTTTTCTCGGCACACTTCGTAAAGCTGCTTTCCATGGGAGTAGTCAACCACATCATCTGCAGTGCCCTACACATTACAGAATCTTGTATTTATTTCCACTACAACTGAAAATTTACCTTTGAGGTCTTTATTTATCTTTTTCCTTTTTACCAGAAAAATCCAGTTATATATCATAATTAGAAGCAGGCCATGAAGTTATATTGATGAGTTAAACAGGTGATGGAAATAATTTAAAGAATCCCTTCAAGTATGCCATGATAATATTCACAATATTTCTCACTGAGTTAAACAGAAACCTCATGTGCTAATCCAAAAACATAAAACATTATGAATCATTTAGGCAGTTGCTTTATTAAACTAGAAGGTGAAATTTACAGGAGAAAATGTTTACTCACATGAATAACAAGGACAGGGCATTTGACCAAGGGGATTTTGTCAATGTTCTGCAGATATCAACACATAAGCCATGTTTAGAGTGCATGATAAAACTAAGGACCAATTGTGATTTGTGATCACTCATATTTGTCACCAAGCATTTACCTTATAGATGTCAAACCAATATGAGCGCTTCACAGGGTACATAACTCTTAGGCCCGACAAAATAGGACTATGCAAAACAACAGCTCTCAGATGAGGCAAACGAGCTGCAAGGTCTACAGTAGGTCCACTACCCACAGATTGACCGTATAGTATGATGTCTTCTTGCTTAGCCCCATAGTTCTCTTCCAGACACTTATATGCTGCTTCAATATCTGCATAAGTGTTATGTTCGCTCGGCTGCAATAAGGAAAAAGTACGAAATTTATAGAAATCATCCACTACTAATGAGTAATGAGAGAAAAAGATAGATATATTAGTAGATTATACCTTTCCGGTCGATTGCCCATAGCCCGAATAGTCGTACCTGCATATATTATGTGCATAAGAAATTTCTGAACTTAAGTTTGTCACAAAAAGATAGAAACATTAGCAAGAAACTAATTTGGCAGCTTCTATCTGACTGTTTAAGCATGAGAAACTAGCTATGAGACCTATCATCTATCATCATGTCACACCTATAGCTCGGGCAAAAGTCGACATTCAGCTGAAGAAATAAAAGAAAGTAAGGGAAGACACAATGTCCGGTAATGAACATCGATGAATCTCTTTGATAAAAGTCGCTTTAATAGGTGGTGCTAAAAAGGTGGCCAAGTTGCACAACAACCCCTTAACCATATATATCTGTCATTTTGGTCTGTTGGAAGTTTTTTTTTTTTAAAAAAACATTTAAAAAGAACATGAATTGTCCCTTTTAAGATGAATGGCAAAACCAACTTAAACATTAGGGGTACATTTCAGGCTGCGTGCTTTGTTATGAGAAAAAACTTGCTTCCGGAAAGAAAAAGACTCAATTTAGTAGTTTTCTATTAACAGCATGCTTCTTCTTCACTTTTGATTCTCATAACTGCTGCACTTTATTTTCATATTTGAAATCCAATCGCTCTTTATTCAATATGCAAGTAAGCTGTGATGTTTCCATTGCAGCATACTTACATGAGGATGTAACACATTATCTGATTAACTGACAGAAAAAGTTCCCTACCAAATTTCTTTAGAGATCTGCATGCAACACCAAGAACAAATATGCAGGCTCAAATAAATATTCCGGTCAGTAAACCCATGCTCACAAGCTATTTCCTAAGGAAATAACAATGGAATATTGGAATTGACTGTCCACATCAGTTTCACTCTCATAATCACCATATAATCTATTCCAAAAGAAAATACAGTGAGAAATATTATATTGATGAACTAATCATAAACTTCTTCCCATATGTCTAAATTGAATGGTAAATATCGCTTTCTTGCTGCTCCAAGGAAAGTCAATGGTTATCTCCACATCATTAACTTTTTTTAAGAATATTATTATAATGTAAATCAACTACCATTGGTTCATTCCCCCACACCCATCTCCCTCACATGTGATAGAATGATCCAAAGGATCCATTAAACAACGACAAACAACAGGAATTCTTGACAGAATACTGCAGAGACTTTCTTTGAAAAAATGCACATAACAAAAATAGAAGTGAAGACTTTGAACAGTAGCATAAGATGCTTTTATCCAAAAATAAAAAGATTAGGATGCTTAAGTTGTGAGTTATGACCATCACTTTACAAATCTTCCAAAGAGGAATTTTTCTAACCACTTTTGAACATTCAACAATTCCAATCGTTTATCGAGTCCCACCCTCGCAACAACCAATTAATAGACACCAAGTTTCATTCTTCCTTCTCAAATTACCCCTACACCTTCCCAGGACTCATACTACTACCTTCATTGAGTAACTCATACCAAATCTAATTCCTTAATATACCCTGTAACTGAAACAGTCAGAATACAAGGAAAAGAAAAATAATAATAATAATAATAAAGAAAAACGCAAAGGAACATTAAAATTACTCTAATGGTAACAACCATTTAACAACTCACATGATCACGCATAGAATATTCTTTCTATATTATAATAACAACTTTCACTAATCGAATCACNCCAATGGAGCAATCAAACAAAAAAACCCATCAAATTGTATCAAATGAACGCTTGCGGAAACACACAGACACCTGTGAAAACACCACAAATTAAGTTTCGATGGAAAAGTTGCAATTTCACGACAAAAATCTAAAGGCTCAACCAATCAGTTGACGCGATTGAAAATGGAGAAAAAGAAAATAGAAACTACAATAATTACCCCAGGAGATTAACTCTGAGATGAATGCTGAGCTCAATAAAGAGCTCGTACATCTGACCGATATCCGCCGCGTTGCCGTGCGAGTAAAGCAGAGTGGAACTCGCCATGGGGTACCGCACATAGACGGCCACGATCTCCGTGCCCCGCCGCGTCGGGAGCTTCAATACGTCGACGTTTTCGCGATGGGGGAAGGGCTGCAGCAGGAGCAGGCCCGTGGCGTCGTCGGTAATCAGCTTGTAGCTCGGCGGGGTCGGTGGGAAAAACGCCAGCTTTGCAGCCATTGATGACGTCACCCCTCCCATCTCTCCCCTTCTCCTACCCTCTCTCTCCTCTCAATCTATGATTTTGCTCACCGTGTAATGTCTAGAAACAGTAGAAAATGTACAGAAATTAGAAGACAACGAAAGAAGAAAACAGTAGAAAAGGGAGAGAGATGAGAAGTGAAGGGAAAGTGGTGCTGTGGAGTTTGAGGAAAGGAGTGATTATGATAGCGTGACCAGCTGTGATGTTTACACTTCGTCAAAGCATGGCCGCATATGCTACA